GCTCTGGATACACTTCTGCACACCATCCTGGAGAATTAGCACTTGGTGAGGAGTAGGAAATTTAAGGCTCCAGTTACAAGCCTTTAAAAAAACCCTGATAGCAAAAATGCAGTGTGTGGATTGTGCTGTAATATTTAAGAGTGGAAGAAGGATATATGCAGCTTGTAAGATCATGTCTCGGGCTCTGGAGTAATTCTAATGTGGTGCAGCTTATTATCTCTTCAGTTCCGTAAGTGTATAGTGACTTTAGTAATGGTGTCTTTTTAATTAAAACCTTCTAAGAAGCTCTTAGATCTGAAGTTTGGTAAATTCCCTTCAAGTCAGTGGAAGTCCTCCAAATGTATGTCAGTGAGAGAGAATTTGCTTTATCTAGGAGGTTATTGCCTGCAATGATCCTTGACCAACAACCCATATAAAACCCTATTTTTTCCATAGATACAAGACAGTAGGAGCAGTTTCTCCAAGAGTGTGTCTCAAGCACAGTCTAAAGTTTCTGGATTGAGAAAATAAATCAATCTATACGGTCAGTTTGATCTCTCACCTTTTAATGAAATGCCAGGTTTGAGAGTTTTAATTGAACATCGTTCTGTAAGGAAACAGTCTGAGGCTAACAGGTCACTGCATAAAAGCCACTACAGAGAAATATCCTGTGATAACTGCCAACCCGGGTCCCAGCTCCATCATGAATAGGCAGTCAAATTTTGGTGTTATCTCATCTTTCAAGGAAAATAGACTCCTGATGTCTTTCAGCTTTTTATTACATGGGCCACTGCATTTCACCACCACCTCAGAAAGAAACATCAAGGGACTTTCCAGATTCTTTCTAGGAAGAAGAACAGGAAACTGCTGGAAACTGTAGTTTTTGGCCATTGGTTTAAATATAGCTTGTAAAAGAACCATCCCATTTTTTCCATGTGTCACTAGTCACCTGGTTAATTAATGATTGTTTTCAATTGGATTAACTGTTTTAAGTCAAACTTTGATGAATGCTGGCACAAAACAAATTATTAAATAGAAAACTACAGTAAAACATTGTTATGTTGTAAATCGAAAAGAAGGATGAGTGGTGCCAGAGAGCAATTCACCATACACGAACAGAACAATTTGTTACTGTTCTGCTTAGTGGTAGACCTTCCCTTTAAGCCATGTGCATATAAATAATTTAAAAGCAAAATTGTAATTCTGTGTAGTGATAAATAAGCTTACAATACCAGAACATCAAATGAATATTCAAAATATAAATGAAATGTTTTCTTGTAAGTGTCTGTAGTTTGTAACTGCGTATGCCTGATTTAAAGTCTCTGGATGGAAACTCTCTGTTCTCAAATCTGGGTCGATCACATGTCCAGATCCTAGTGGTGAAGACCACATTCTATTTGTTAAGTAAAGTAAAAGTCAAGACTTCCTCTACTGTAGTAAAAGCGGAATTGAGGACGCTAAGTCCAGCTTGTTTATAAACAAAGCTACCTATAGTGAAAAGGGTTCAGGTTAACTAAATGGGGAGACATTAGTGGAAATTTTATTTCCGGTCTGCTTATGTTCAGAGGGAGGAGAATTGTGAAGTTCTGTGTATCTGCTTCTACTGCCTGAAGTCTTAGAGCAGAGTAACACTGGATCAGTAGAAAAAAAGAAGTTTGTATTTGGTGTTCAGTAAGAATAATTGCTTTCAAATATTTTTTTAAAATATATTTTATTTAACTGCTAAGATTCTGTTAACAGAGTCTGAACTCACGTTCTGCTGTCAAATTAAGAAGATGGTGAATGTAGGTTAAAACCAACACCATTTCTACAAGAGGAAAAGACAAAAAATTTGGACTTGTTGCATTAATTCACAGTCCTGCATTGAGATTTAAACTAAAACCAGTACATAAAGATAAAACTGGTGTAGGAATGATTTCAGTAAGCAGGGACACAGCTACTGCATGGAGTTGTGACAAATACTGCTTTCCATTCAAAACAGAAACAATCCTAACCTGCTGTCCTTTGCAGCCCTTCAGTACAATGGTTGTAAGAGCACCTGGGCTACAAGAGCCCCTTTCTCCAGGTTAAGTTCCTCAGTGTTTCCAGAGGGATTCCCCCCTTACAGAAGTGCAGCTTGCTTTTTGAGTAACTGGCAGCATCTCCTCAAACTCGAGTCCTGTTCATTGACAGAACAATTTCAGCCCTGGCAGGGAAAAACAGGTTCTCACTACCCTCGGGTTTGAGCATAATAAATACCCAAGGCCAGATCTTCACTGCAGTGGTGGGCAGGTGTGAAATTGGCACAAATTCAGCACCGGTGAGCTGCGTGCAGCTGCCAGGAGTGTCGGCTGCTGCTGGGCTGCCCTTGCCATCCCCAAGCACAGGGGACAGCGATGGAAGCACATGGGGACCATCCTGGGCTGGCGTTCTTGCAGCTGTGCAATGTCCCAGAAGTGAGAAGAGCTATTTGACAGCTTGGAAATGGGGATGTGCTGACTGGAAGTATGGGTCTGTTGTGCCAGTGACTGCAATTTGTGAATAAGCAGTCTGTCTTCAGATACCATACAGCATGTCAGGCTCAGAGACGGACAGAAAATGGGGGTTTACCTTCAGCCTTCCCAGTCAACAAGCTGTTTTCTCTTGCTGGTGTAGGTTGTTAATGTTTTATCCTTACTAAAACTGTAGGGTATAATATATTTGTGAATTGACTGTATGTTTTTAAGGGAACAGCGGGACCTGCTGGAGGAGGGAGGTCCCTAAGGCTGGGGAATGGCTGTGACAGCCCTGTTTCAGGCTCGCGCAGAGGCTGGGAAGTCTGGCAGGGTTGGCATCAGCACAGGCAGGGCTCCTGCTGCCCTCACCCTCTAGGCAGAGGAAGGGAGATTGGTTATCCTGCCTGCAGGTCTCCAGGGGCAGACCCTCCTTGCACCTCAGCTCTGCAGGGCTGGTTCCTGGGTCAGGGAGGGCAAGTCCAAGCTTGTGAGCTCCTGTGTTACTGCCTCAGAGCAGCAAGAACATTTGGGGCTGGTGATTGTCCCATGTGCTGGCTGGGAACCTGAGCTTTAGCAGCTGTTGTACACTTTCCTGCACACACTTCTAGTGTCTTTTTGGAAGAATTTAATTAGTTACTTCTTTAGTTACTTGAGTTAATTGTGTTTGTTAATGATTTTCAGCTTTAAAAATCCTGTATTCATCTTAATGCCTTGCTGTTGCTACGTAGGCAGTCCTTGACCACGTGTTTGTGCATGCAAGGAGTTAATTAAAACCTTAATAACTAAATAATCTCCACACAGTCTAGGCGTCTATGAGATAGCACTGTGGGGACATTTCTTGAGTTCCTCAATTGCACACCACATTACTATCAACTAGATTTTGATATTGGATAATAATACTCTAGCTTTGCTGGTGAGGTATATATAGAAGGCAGCCTGAACAGCAAGCCCAAGAGCAGTGTTCTGTTTGAGGTATTTCCTTTGATCATGCCACAGCTGAGAGACTCACATCTCCTAGAGACCAAGACTAAAGTATGCACATTAGGGTGCCTGAAGTGAGTTTCCTAAATAGAAGTGGCCCGATTCCTCTTTCAGAGATAGTGAACGCAAAAACCTTTTTTTTTAAAGCTTTCACGCTTTGCAAAGTGGCTCTGACAGTCACTTTTCTGGGTGGCTGTCAGTATTTTGGGTATTGATTACTCCTGTATGTAGGGTGTTCAGCACTGGTGAAGCCTCTCCGCGAGTGCCTCTGTGCACTCCAGCTGCAGGGCAAAGCTCCAGCTGGGCGCCTGCTTTTGCATTCACCCCTGTGGAAATGTCCCACGGCCACGTGAGACATCAGTCACGGGTGTGCAGCCCTGTATTGTCATGTTACAGTGTTGGTAACAACTGCACACACTAGTCCATGTCATGGCTTTGGAAAGGTGTCACCCATTGGCACTTGAGACCCAAACAGATGCTGCTGCGGACCAGTCCAGCCTTGTTTGCATGGGCCCAGCAGGGGCTTAGGGAGTAAAAGGCAGCAATGCCGTAGGCTGCACCAGGACAGCAGAACTTCTCTGTAGGAAGGGACTATTCTCGCCCTTGCCCGGCAGCAGAGCAGTGACCTGTTTCAAAGATGGAGCAGCCCCAGTGCCCCACGCCATGCCTGCGTGTCCTGCTCTCCTGGCAGAGCGTGGCCAACGGACCTTGGCCCCACAGCTCAGCCCTCCCACACAAGGGAGAGGGGCCGGACCACGGTGGCATACAGTAAATTCCTCTCTTTTTGGCTCAGGTAACTAGAAAACAAAAAAACTGAACAAGTATCTCAGTGTAAGTGGATACGAGGCCAGGACAGCCTCGTTAGCTGCAGTATGGACATGGATGTCACTTCTTGCTGTGAGCAAAGGTATCGGTGTCTGCCCCTGCCCAGGGAGAGCTGCGTCCTCCCTCTACAGCCGTAAGGTTGCAGGCACCTGCTTTCCTGTGATGGCACGTACATAACTACCCCTGCAGCCCTGTATCGTGCTGCATAAGCTTACCTCATAGAAGCAGGAGTGGTCTTGCCCTCCCTGGGTTTGGAAGAAATGACTGTAACAGATGTGTTCCACATCTGACCTCTGTTTTTCTATAGCTCCTGTGCACATTTTTAATTTAAAATTCTGCTCTTTCCTATAAAAGGTAAAGAAGATGTCAAGGTCTTGCTGTTCCCATTCCAAATGAAATGGATTCATGTCCTGTTAATCAAGGAGTACAGCCACAGCATTTGTCATTTCCCTTTAAAGTAATGGGTGGTTGATACCTGTCATTTCTCAAGAAACTATATACCAGATTAAGGTGTATTTATAGAAATCTCAATTGCTGGTAACTTGGCTGAAGCCAAGTTTAGGCATACCATTAGTAATGCATAATGAAATGACCTAAGTGGAGTTAGGTTTGGGAGGGGGAAGAGAAAGCTATTTGAGTTAGATAGCTTGAGGATGCTGTTTTACTATTAAAATTAAGCTTCTGACCCCTGGCTCTGAAGTGATAAAAATAAATCTTCCTGTATTTCTCTTCTGCATTTAATCTTCTATATTGGAAAAGATAAAGAATAAAATCTCCTTCTCTCCCTTGTCTCTCTCTTTTCTAGGTACAGGACCTATTTATGCTACAGACCCACTCCTATATGTGTTCCTGTTAATACTGCATAAGCTTGTACATTTATTAGTAAACCACTGACGGACTACTTCCTCCACTCCTCCTCAGCCAAACAAAAAGGAACCTATTTAAAAACAGAACAAACCCCTGACAAAAAAATACCTACAGTTTTAAAGATGGACAGAAAGAGACTGAAAGAAGCATGATGAATTCTACGTGGGGGGAAAAACGTATTTTTGGGGATGCCACAGAAAGTAAACCGCATAGAATAATGCATCTAGTTTCCAGACTCTATGGTGTAGAGCCCTGCTCTATGCATGGCACTTATGATTTCTCTATTTTAATGTAATTTTTTCTTTTCTAAACCTTTCCTCTGACTCTTCATTTTGCACGAACTGTTGAGCAGTTATCTTTATGACAATATGTAAAGATGTTGGGTCAAAGCCCTTCCTAAGAAAGGAAATATTTTTAGTAGATTATTGTGTTTAGGTTTTTTGGATTTCCTTTTTCTTTTTTAATTAAATTATTTCTTTTGGAGACATTTTAATTAAAAAGGTACATCTTACCATAATTAATATTCACTGTCAATAATATTTATTTTTAAATGAAGATTGGAAACAAGGTAAGACATTTGTTTATAAGCTGTATTGTATATTGCTGAATAACAGTTGAATAAAAAGATTTTGAAATAAAGTTTTTACAGGTCTGTGTGCCTTTCCCTGTGTCCTGAAGCTCCCTGAGAAGGCTTCACGGCTGTGTCTGTTCCCTACCTTGTCACAGCACAGAGAATTGAGGAAAGGTGCATCACAAATAAAATAAAATTGAAATCTGTTACTTACGACACACCCCCGTGTATTGCCAAACCCCACAGTGCAATGTGCTGACAGCTAGTCACAAGCTACAGCTGCATTTTCCTGTGGTGACAGCAGTTATCTCTGGGCAGTTAAAGCAAGATCTGGTCAGATGGACGGTGTGAGAGTGTGGAACATTCAAGGTAAGTTGCTTTGGTTTTCTCCAGGCCTCTTTGAAAAAAGATGAATTAACCAGTGGAAAATAAAAATGAATCAACCTGGAGTGTTGTGTTCCCCAGACCTGGTTCCAGTATTTGTTTAAAATATATTCAGATTTTTAAAATTATATAATTGTGTCGCTTGTCTCACCAAGTGAGCTTTCCTCTAATAGAGCAGAAAGGCTTTTTTACAGTAAATATAGCAGTTACTTTTCTGTTCCAAAATGCTTGGTTTTTAAGTGAGATAATAGGATGACTTGGTAAAGAAACACAACCTTCTTTAGCTAAATTTAGTGAAGTACTTTGAAATTTCCTATGTCTGACTGTGATTCTTATCCTTTCATTTGCATAGCATTTTAGAAAGGACCTTAATTGTGGAAATGGTGAAGTGACAGCTACAGCGCCAGCAGGACTCTGTCGGCAGAAGCTGCGGAGCAAAAGCAGGACGTGCCGTTGCCTCACCTCGTACCTGAGTCCTCTTCTAGAAGGAGGGTAGGAAGGGATTTTCAATTTCTCAGATGGTCAGAAGTTGCTTTTTCTAGGACTGCCAGTAATAGTGAGGGATTTGTGCCACTCACATCTCACTAGGTGTGAGACCAAAACACATCTGTGTTTCATACATGCTACTACGTTGTGGTAATAAAAGCCCTCTTGTACTGGGGGGATCTAAAGGTGATAAAATTTTTGTAAGAATGTTCATCCCGTTAATGCCAGCTGTAGTATCCTGCGGATTGGGGAATAATCAGTCCATAATCATCCCACAAAAAGCAGAACTGCTCTTCGGAAGGACTTGGGGAAGGTGTGTTGCAAGCCTTGAAGTGCATCAGAGCGTGAGACGCTGAAGAGCACAGTCCCTGGCTTCCATATGCACACAGGAGGGCGAGTCTTTTATAACCTGCAAGGAAAAGACAGGTGGAAAAAAAGATTTGCATGTCAGACCATGCCTAAATTAATACCGGCATTCATGTCTGGGAACTTGTTCAAGGACAATTATTCAATGCAGAGGTATGTGTGGAGTCTGTAATGTCACGAGAGCTCTAATCCTTCGAGTAATGGCTGGTCATGGAAGTGAAACCTGCCTGGGTTTGAATTGTGGGTCCTCTGGCAAGCTCATCATCACTGCTGCTTTTTCTCAAGGGCAGTAAATATTTCTCAGTGACTCATCTTCCTTCTAAGGGAGAGAACCAAAACAAATTTTTCCACAAGAGGAAGAAGAAAATCTGCCTAAATTTACCTAAATAAATAGCTGACGCTTGAAGCAGCGAACCATGTCTATCTAGGAGTAGTTACGCTTCTATTTCAACTTCAGCCGTACCTCAGCATGGTCTCTTAGTAAATAGATCATCTGCTTTGCTCTGATACTTTTGTTTCATCACTTACGGAGTACATTATGTCTTGAATTGCATACTGTGTGGTTTACAGAAAACATGGGAGGAAATACACCATCTTGCATTTGTCCTTCCCTTTGTATTGTAGCCTGTTACCTGCACAGGGATGTGGCAGCAACTGGAAGTTTCGTGTGCAGTGGCACGAGTAGAATTATCAAGGTCTTTTAGACTTTAATCACATTAAAGGTGAAAAAATATTAAATCTGCAACTAAAAATAACTTTTTTTTATCCTTTCTGAGATCAGAATTAAGTGTGCTGCAGTAGGAATAACGATTCTTATGTTCCAATTCACTATAAAACCTCAGCACTACTAAACAATAACCTGAGGATTTGATGAGAAATCTCTTCTAACAAGAGCAATAGGCATCTTTTCTTTCCAGTGAAGACCTGCACACGTGCACAGGTAACTCATTCCCGGCACACAGGATAACTTCAACATGGGAGCACATTGCCAAGATAACCTGGCTCTACCTTAACCTTCGCTATACTTCTGCCTTCAAAGAATGTGCAGAATGAGTCCTCCACGTTTTGGGGCCTTGGTTTCCGCATTCGGGTAAGCTTTTTTGCAAAATACACAGCCTATGTTTGGGCCAGTATTTGCATAGTGCTGGGGAAATAACTGGCTAAAGAGGAGGCTGCAGCTTTGGTACAGTATTTAGTCTTTAAAAAGCACTTAAAGGAATGAGAAACATTTTGATGGAAAAATGTAAAGAATTTGGAGCCTTATTGCTTGTGAGTGTGTTAAGGACCTTTGCTAAAACATCTGTCCTTTGAGAGTGCTCTTTCTTCTGAAAAGGGCAACTGCCTCACTTCTGCTGATTGCACTTACAAAGGGCAAAGTGGGGTTTTGTTGTACCCTTAATGGACAGAGGCTAGTGGCAAATCTTCCTCTTTCATAAATCTCAGCATTCCTCGTGGTGTCTGCTGTCAGAATCGATTAGGAGTAAGTGCTTGGACTGCAGAGCTGTGGAAAGGCGGCCTGTCTCCTGCAGTGCCATGCAGAGCCGGGCAGAAAGTCCTCCAGCGCCGGTGGTGGGGTTTGTGTGTCCCCGGGCACCTGGGGAGACAGGCCCTGGTCCCTGCACGGGGGGACAGCACAGTCAGCGGCTCCTACTCGCAAAGCCAGCAAGCAGCCAAGCTGGGGAGCGTGAGTGATGGCTGTTAGGGGCCAGAGCTGAGTCATCTATAATATAATCATAAGGAAACACACATTTTTCCTGAGAGAAAATCAATAGAACTTTGCACTTTTCCTTGTAATATTTCCACTCTGTGCCATCAGCCATAGTTTGCTCACAGTTATACTGCTGTAAATTCACTGCCAGTTAATGGATTTCTACAAAAATGAATTGACTTACAACAGTGTAAGAGAGCTGATGCCAGAGCCATGCACATGTAAAAATACATGGAACAAAAGTAGTTTTATTGCACACGGGTGACCTTCAAAGTGCCAAGACCTAGCAAGTAAAAAGCAAAATTACCTAGTTCCTGGTACGCTCCTCTTCTGGCAAAACTCCCAAGGAAAATAAAGCGTGCAGTCCCGAAACCATCGCTGTGCGTGGCAAGGGGGCCAGAGACCCACCGAAGGGAAGACAGGCGAGCGAGCAGCTTCACGCTATGATGGAGAATGCAGAAGACTGTCTGAACATGTCATTTTTCATTTCCTGCATAAAACATTTTGGAGCCTCGTCTCACTTAGAATTAGTAAGTAAGTAAATAATGTGCTCCCAAACTTGTGTGTCAAAATTAGGTTGGTTAATGTATGAGCTGCCTCTGTTGCATTTGTTACTACACAGGAAATTTCATGCTTAGCCAGAGGCTGGCAAAGTTCATTTATTCATTATCCCCAAACTTCGGGCAGTTATTATTCAAACTCCCCTAGTACATCTATTTAATAAGAAGAGAACAGAAAATTGATGGGATCAAAAATGTTAAAGTCGTAATTAATGCTTTTAGCAAAGACTGATTGGAGGGGGTTGTTTTGAGAATACTAATTTGTAGCGAGCAAGTGTGCTGCCTGGTGTTGCTGGGAGCAGGGAGAGCTCTCCCAGCCCTGCCAAGGGAGCTCGGCCCCTGCAGCCTGGTGAGCTGCTGGCCCGCGGGGACACCACCTGTGTCACCCCAGGGGCTCTCTGCCACCAGGTAAGGGAAAACCAGTGCTACAGGCTGTGGGAGAGCACTAAAATCCCAACATACATAAATTATTGCTGATTAATAGAGTGTTTAGATGGTAAAACATTCACTTCCAGCATAGAAAATACGCGGGATTTTTTTCTTCTTCACTGTTTTTGGGGTTTTGTGTTGCTTTGTCCCCCAGCAGCCTTGTAGTACTGCAGATCACTGAGCTGCGATGCAGGGGGCTGCCGGGCGGTTGAGGGCTTTGCTCTCTGGCGAGATGCCCTGAGGCAGAGCCCCGGGCTGTGTGCATGCGTGGGACAGGTTTGGGTTTTGTTCACACAGGAGCAGTTACAGTTATTCCATAGGAAAATTAACTGGCCCTAAAACAAAGGAAACGAGATGAAGGCTGGAAGAATCCCAGCAAGGCAGGAGGGCAGCCGTGAGGGATTTCTGCATCACCCTGTCCTGCCCCAAAGCAGCAGCAGCGCCCGTTCCCTGGGCATGGCCATGTGGTTTGACAGGGGATGGGGAAGCGGAAGGGAGGGGGGGGGGTCTGTTGCTGTTTTTAGACCATGTTTCTAAAACCCAGCAGCCTCTGCCAAGTAAAAGACGGATATTATTATAAATGGAGCAAGCCGGGGAAAATACATGGTGCAGATCGGCATCAATGACAATCCAAAATACAGCACTGAACAAGATGGGGTTTTTTAAGGATCCATGCTAATGTCAATGAATGGATTGATATCTCCTGTTTTTCCTCTGGTGACTGCCAGCCTTTTAATTATAGCAATTACGGACATTCCAAGCAAATCACAGCTACATTAAGAGTCAAATCAAAGAGGGCTGTGCTGTAGAATTAGTTAATGGATTTCCCTACTTGTTGTCGATAGATTTGGTTTCCTGTTATTGTTAAAATGTTTCTTAAATGTCATATGGAAAATCATCTGTAGTTTAATACAAATTAAATGACCAAGGTCTTGATAAATAACTCAAAAATGCTTCCAGTTCAATTGAGGATTGTAATTTTCCAATAGGACATTTTTGGAATTTACTCTGGGGAAGACGGGAAAGGGAATGTCAAGCTATTTTTTTTCTATTCCATGACCAGATCTGTCAAAAACTTTAATTCATCTCTGTGTTAATACCCTTGAAATAGGAAGCCACAGGTAAGACTGGGAGTGTTATGCAGG